ATAAAATATAATCTATTATTAAAAAAACTAATTAACATTTATTTGATAAAAATTGAAATCAAATATAAAATAACCAATTTTATTGGTAATCAAATCGGTCAGTTGGTGAAAAATTTGGTAAGATTTTGATTCTTATAATTGAAGAAAAATTTTTTTGGTTAATTTAAAACCGATTTCAGTTTCAACCGGAACCGGCTTTTGCCCACCCCTATTTCTATATACATTTACTGTTTGGGCGCTAATTTTGATGCACTTGATATCAGTTTAGACACTTCTATTGGCGCATTAATTGTTATATATTAACTATATAATTTATTAGCTATTCTCACTGTCCCAACTAAATAAAGCTAGGTTCATTAAAAATAAATAAATAAAGCTAGAAATAATTTTGTTTAAATCGAGTATTTTTTTAATATCTAGGTAATAGAAAAGTGTTGCAGTTTTAACCAATAATAGGGAAAATTTCCTCAATATAGCCTTATGAATCCAAGGATTTGATAAAGTGGTAAATATCTTATCCAAGAATATACTCAACGGGTAAATAAAAAAATAAATACAACTCTTCTGATAATTTCCCCTCTTAAAATTATTTTATAATTCATTTTGTAAAATTATTTAAATATTTTTAATAAAATAATATAAAAATAAATTTAGAAATATTTAAATAATTTTATAAAATAAATTAAGTACAATCATCTGTAAAGCAGTTTTCTCATTTCTTTTTTAGGACAACAGAAAACAGATTTATATGGAACAAAGTCCCTTTCTAATATTTTAATTTATTACCGCAGATGGAAACGAACCAATACCAGCCTGATTCCTGTAGTCTGCACATGGAAACAACACAGTTACAGGCAAAGTCCCATCCACAATACATCATCATTCCACACACTCACCGCTGTTTTTTTATTATTTAAAACAAAGAAACGATTTCTTTTTCAGTTTCTTTTATGAATCTGTGTCTATCGCTTTGGCTTCAAGAGTACTTGAACCGCCAATCCAAGCCAACGTCTCTTCCGCCCACCCGAAGTCCTTCCTTTTCAATTCAATTCTATTTCTTCTTCTGTCACTCTGCGGATACGGTGCACGCTTCCAGCGCCAATCCAAACTAACGTCTCCTCCGCCCACCCGAAGTCCTTCCTTTTCAATTCAATTCTCTTTCTTTTTCTGTCACCCTGCAGATATGGCGCACGCTTCCAATACCCATCTTAGTATTCCAATAAATTCATTAAAATCCAGTCTTTCAATGGCTTCTCTAACGTCAATTTCTCATTCCCGGTTACCCTTTAGCAAACACCAGTTGAAAAAAACAGAGACCCCCAATTCTGCCTCTTGTTTCTTTCCCAAGAATCCACCCCGTTTGTTGTTTCAATCGATTAAGTTTACCAAAATGCCTCAGAGGGGTGGTGTTGTTATATCGGCTATGGCGGCTGTGGAGAAGTCGAGAAATAGGTATCCCGGAGAGGCCAAGGGATTTGTGGAGGAGATGAGGTTTGTGGCAATGAGGATGCATACAAGGGAGCAGGCCAAGGAGGGCGAGAAGGAGGTGAAGGAGCCTGAAGAGCGAACAGTTACCAAGTGGGAGCCTTCTATTGATGGGTACCTGCGGTTTCTTGTGGATAGCAAGCTGGTGTATGATACGCTTGAGGGGATTATTGAAAAGGCTGCTTTTCCTAATTGTGAGCCTTTTTTTTTTTTTTGGATTATATTCTTTGTGCCCTTATGTTGTTTTGGTGCTTTTGTAATCTGTTCATGGTTTTTTGAGTTTTCCGGATAATATAGTGGTTCTCCTTTTTACTCTATTTTGGTTTTACTGTATACATTATTTGAAGGTTTTTCTTCTCGAGTTTAGTGTTTGTTTGTAGTAGTTGTTTCTTGTGTTATTCTGAGATTTGGTGATGTTGCTTCTTCTGTGTTGCATACTGGTGTTAAATTTATGTTTGCAAACTTTTTCATGCCTTCTAAAACACTTGTTTAGGGTCACTGATTGCTTATGAGATTAGTTTCTATGAGGTTCAGTACCTTATTGATATGATATTCAAGAGGACTGAGTTTTATGATAATGCTCTTAAATATAAGGGAAATACAAAAGAGGGAAACAAGGAAAAAAAAGGCAGGGGGATCTATAAGCATGCTCCATTTCTTTTTCATGATTAGAATTTTATGCTACTGGTTGGCGATTATCCAATGTGAAGATGAAGCATATGCTTCATGCTTAGTCTAAAAAATTGTGGGATAAGTGGTTTCCTTTTTGTTTTATTAGAAGCGTCATCCATTCATATTTTCTTGTGTGTTTGTCCATTCATATTTTGTTGTGTGTTTGTTCATATCTTTAGTATAATCTTCAATTTTTTGGGCCTTATTGTGTTAGCCAATTTAATCTTTGGTGTTACTGAGAGTATATTGCTTCTGTAGTTTACAATATGGTTCCCATTCTTCTCCCCAGTTGCTAGCTAATGTGGATTAGTTTTCTTGTGCTTATTATATCTGCCTTTTTACTATGAGATTCATCTAATAATCTGTTTGTGTGCAGATGTTGAGTTCAAAAACACAGGATTGGAAAGGTCTGAAAATTTATCTAAGGATTTGGTCTGGTTCACAGAACAAGGTAATGTCATTCCGGAACCATCCTATCCTGGTTGTAACTATGCAGAGTATCTTAAAGAATTGTCAGAGAAGGATCCTCAAGCATTTGTATGTCACTTCTACAACATATATTTTGCGCACTCAGCTGGGGGTCGTATGATTGGGAAGAAGGTGAAAGGAAGTATTAGCTTCAATAGTGTCTCCAAAATTATTTTAGTGTATGTTATTATCTACATTGCATACATATTAGCTTTGATGGTCTCTCCTATATTGCTATTTTATGCTATACATACAAAAATGCAAGTGCCCTCCATGAGTGCGTATCTATGTCCTTGTCTTTCTCCATTTTTGTAGACATAACCTGTGTTATGCTCATTTTATGCCATGCTATCTACCGGGGCAGTTCCTAGGACCCATTTAGTTCTTTTTCTCCACCTATTTTCCTTGACACATTTTGCTGTAATGTGAATGTTATATCTTGTTTAGTGAGCTATCCAATGTAGACCGTTTTCCTTTTCCATTGGATCAGGTAGCTGAGAAGATACTTAACAACAGAGAGTTGGAATTTTATAAATGGGATGGTGAGCTATCCCTGCTTTTGCAAAATGTTAGGGATAAGCTGAATAAGGTTACTGAGGTAATTATATTTTCGTGCTTTTTTGCACAATTTTCCTGTAAACTTCTCCGAAATAAATAAATAAATAAACCTCATCTTTGACATGTTAACTGCGCCTGAATTATTTTCTTTTTGTTTATTCGTTTTTACCACTAACTAATACATATGCCTTTGTGGGACTTACTCAGAGCTGGACAAGAGAGGAGAAGAACCATTGTTTGGAAGAAACTGAGAAGTCATTCAAGTATTCAGGAGAGATCCTCCGACAAATATTGTCATGATGCGCATAGCTATCTTGTTGTGATATTTTTTAGGATATGTTGCAAGCAAAGATGACATCTGCATTTATATACCTTTTCCTTTTCCTTTAAAGCGACCAACTTCTTTGAAGCATGAGATGCTTTCACTGTCCTTAATCAGAACTCATTCAAGGAGTTTAATAAATCACAAACATTTATCAAATTCAGCCAAGTTATTACATGCAAGTGCTTGATTTCCTCTTCCTCGTCTGTGTTGGTTTTAAATATAAATATTAGCATACATGTAAGTGAAATTGTGAATTTGAAAAGGTTAGTTTCAGCACCATATTTGATGTGCCAATGTTTGCTTTTTCTTTTGGTTTAGTGGTGTTCCCACTAGTGCAGAGCGTGGAGAACATTGTATGCCGGTTTGAAGCTTTGTATTGATCAAGGATATTATCGGTGAGCTGTCGTTGAGTGCAGATGATTAAAATGCAAGCATTAGGTAGCTCAGCTCACTCAATAAAATGGATGTTTGCAATAACGTAAAAAATAACACTACTCCACGTTTTATTTCAATGTTATGCACTATCGTCAATGACTTAAATAATTCAATGGTGATCTTCTTCTGTTGGAAGTAAAAACTATTGAGTTCGAGTCGCATAGCATGGGTGGGGTGAGATAAGAAATAAAGAGGGTTACCTCCCGTTGTGCAATCAACATAAAAAAAAAAAATGTTATGCACTATCGTCAATGACTTAAATAATTCAGTGGTAATCTTTTTCTGTTGGAAGTAAGAACTATTGAGTTCGAGTCGTATAGCATACGGGTGGAGAGAGATAAGAAATAGAGAGGGTTATCTCCCGTTGTGCAACCAACATAAAAAAAAAAAAAAATGTTATACACTATTTTATTTCATTTAAAAAGTTGTAATAAATCCTAATAATTTATAGTAGAAAGATAAATGATGTAATTTATATATATGAGTTACAAGTAAGTAGATTTTAATTCATATATATATATAAATATATATATTTATAAGGTAACACCTCGTGTGTTATGAGATAAGGTTAATAATCTGAATAGATATATTGATTGTTGTTACATCTGATCTATAAAGCTATAAAGAGTTGCAACTATTAATTATACTTGTTATGATTTGTTTAGGAGGGTATGAATTTGCCGCATTTTTATTGTGCTTAAGGTGTCTGGTTTAAACTTTAAAGACTGAGCTAGAATCCTCTAAACTTTTGAAAAATAGTTAGTTGGGTCCATGAATTTTTATTTTTTATCCTTAAAATTTTAATTAATTTCACACTATTTTAGCACTTTTTAAATCGAATGTTTCATTTTGCCTTCTAAAAATAATTTTTAGCTCCGCTACTTTAAGTAGGGGAATTTTTTTATTGGCAAACAAAATATACTTATAAGGAAATTATCAAGATACTTCAACTCATTATTTAACTTTTGTAATTGAAATAATTTCAGAATTTGATCATTTACTCTTAAATCTATCGACAGAAAGGACTTTTGATTTAGAACAGTGATTGGTACACACTCCGCTTTGAACATATTGTGTGACACACTTCGCTTTGAACATATTACGTGACACACTCATTAAAAAATTATTATTTTAATTTAAAATTAAAGACAGATAAGTTTAAGTGGTTGAATTGATTGTATTTATTTTATATTTTTAATGACTAAACCGAAAGTGTGTCAAAAAATATGTTAAACTGAGAATGTACTAATCATTGTCAAAAAATGTGTTGAACCGAGAATGTACCAATCATTGTCAAAAAATGTGTTGAATCGAGAATGTACCAATCATTTCCTTTTATTTAATATGTTAGTTCTCATTTTATTTATTCTGCTCTTTGTTAATTCTCTTTTAGCTTGGGATAGCATTCGTATTACACCTCTTAGTTTATAAATTCTTTGCTTGCTCAAATATATTTTAACAAATAGAATGGAGATCAAGTATCGATCTAGTGCAGTCTAGCTTCATTTCTATTCCCCTTTTGTAGGGCTATTATTAATCGAGGATAGGGAACGGATTCATCCAAAAGTTTGAAGTCAGGACACAATTTTTAATGCAATTATAAAATTTTCCAAAGGTAAATTTTTAACAACCTTATTTTTGGAGCTAGGCTACAACATTTTTAATAAAGATATTGCTTTTAAATTTTCAATGTGAGAGGTAGCAATCGGTGCTGATAACAGTAAGGAGGAGGAATGAAGGGAATAAGAGGATAAAAAACATAGTAGAAAACAAGTTGAAACCATTGTCGTTAGCAGATTAAACAGTCTCAAAAATGGTATTACTAACCTTTTCAATAACTATAACAAAATAAAGTATTTTATAGAGTAGATTGTACATTAAAAGTATAATCTACTTTATAAATTTATTAAAATATTATTAATGAAATTATTTTTCATGTTATTTTATTAAAAATATTTTGATAAATTTATAGAGTAAATTATTTTTAATTTACAATCTTGATTGTATTACATAAATTCCCTTGTTTGTAATTAGTTAAAAACTCTGAGAGTAAAGGTGCAAATAAGGATTCCAATTTTGTATTTTTTTCTATTTAAGGATGTTAACTTTATCAGTTTTTAAATAAAGATGTCAACTTTTAATTTTTTTCTAAATAAGGATGTTAACTTTCAATTTTTTCTAAATAAAGATGTTAACTTTGTCAATTTCTAAATAAGGATGTTAATTTTGTCAATTTCTAAATAAGGATGTCAACTTTCAACATTTTCTATTTAAGGATGTCAACTTTCAACTTTTTCTATTTAAGGATTAATTGAATAGTGACGCTAACGTGGCTAACATATTTTTTTAGGTTAAATATCTGAATTGGTCCCTCAACTTTTATTTTTGAACTAATTCATCCTTGAACTTCAGAAAGTACCAAAAACATCCTTCAACTTCAATCTTCAATTTTATCTTTCCGTCAATTAAATGTTGATGTAGCTAATTTTTTTGCTAAGTGATTGACTATTTTAAATTTTCAATATTAGGTGGAAAATCCATCATGTAAAA